GTTAGGTTAATAAAATTTTTATTTTTTTTCATGTTTCTTTATTCAATTATTTCCAATGATCTGCAAGTGTCCTTATATTTATGACCAGTGAGTGTATGAAGATATGGCTAAGAATTCACAATTATTTGATTTTAGTAATTATCCTAAGACTCATCCTCTATACAATGTGGAAAATAAAGCAGCCATAGGTAAATTCAAAGATGAATGTTGTGGAACTTCAATGTGAGAATTTATAGGTCTAAGAGCCAAGATGTACGCATTTGAGATCGAGAATAGACAAATTACTAAAAAGGCTAAGGGTATACCGAAAAATGTAGTAAAAGAGGAATTATCTATAGATATGTACTGAGATTGTCTATTTGATAATAAGGTGTACACTACAGATAACATATACAGACTTAGAGTAGAAAATCATAATATATATCTAACAAAATCTACAAAAAAAGTTCTATGTCCACTTGATACAAAGAAATGGATCTTAGATGACAGAATTAATAGCTATGCTTATGGCCATTACAAGATCCAGGATCCAAATGACAATGTAGAAGAAATCAAGTATAGTGATGAGGAATTATGCAATTTCTTGGAGTTAATACTAACTTAATCATATGTTTGGTGGTAATTCAGTATCAGGAAGAACAACAAAGAGTTCTTCTCAAACAAAAGATCGTTTAGGAACCCAGATATCAGAATCTAGGTCTCCTTTTTTTTAGGTAATATAAAACCGGTTTTCATCTTCAACAATTATTTGATTGATTTTAAAAATGGATAAAGTCCAGTTAGGGTCAGTTTGACGTCTCTTATTTCCTTCAAGGTTCTCAGGAAGTAAAAGATACCGAACTTTTGAAGTAATAGGGAGCCCATACCAATTGGTCTATTAGCTGGTAAAGATTCATTTGCCTTAGGCGTTTTTCTTAGCTTGATAGCATCAGCAGGTTTCATACCAAGTAGACGCATTTTTTCATTATTCATAGCAATAAGGATATCAGTGTTATCTGTAACCCAAGCCTTTGAAACGCCTCCACTAGCAAGTACTGACCTCAAAATGATCTTTCAGCCAAAGTTCCATTAAATCTTTCAACTTTACCTTGTGTTCTTTTAGAATAGACAACTTGAATTTTAACATTATGTTTTATCATAAGTCTCTTGCATTCACCCATAAATTCACCTCCTCTATCTACCTGAAGAGTACTAGGCCATACAAGAGGAATATTTGAATTCGAGTATACTTTCTTAAATGCCTTAGCTACATGTTTTGCTGTTTTTTCAATCAACTATTGATAGCACATATTTATAGACCTTCCCTTTAATCTTATCCCAAGGCATGTAAAGGACATCAGTAAAGTGAAGCACATTAGGACGTCCCACATTATTATATGAAGGTCTAGGAATATACCCAGGTCTTGGTGCGTAAATTCGATATAATGCTTGTTTAGATAGCCATTCACATACATCTATATAAAAGAAGTTAAATCCATGTTTTTTAGTTATGTTATATAAATTTTTACATGATCTATAATATCCTTCAGGCTTATAATAAATCATCCTGAGGACTATTCTTAATTCTTCTTTTGGATCAATTACGATTTGTGGTTGTAAATCCATAGTAAATATCATGGAAGAAATTATCAGAACAAATCAAGAATTATGCAAACAGTTAGCAGAAGATGATGAGATTATATCTGAATATAAGGCTAGAATTAAATCCCTAGAACGAGATCTTGAGTACTGTAATTGAGAAATCAATCTTTTAGGAAATTTGCTAGTTTTAAGGGGGATGAAATAGATACCTTGAAAAAGAGAAAAAAGAGCTATCAATACAACTCAAGAAAACTTTGAAAGATGTTAAGTATAAGGAAGAAGGTTTACATCCAGGGATAATCAATTAATAGCACTTGAAGATAAGATTTTGACTCTTAAAGCAAGAATAAAAGAGATTACATTGCACCAAAGAAAAATGGCATTAAATACTCCTCAACCACCTGCTCCAAATGAGTTAATTGATCTATATGACAAAGTTCTTGATAACAATGGGCATATAGATGATTATGTCAGAAACCCTCAAACATCAGCTTGGAATCAAAGAGATATTCTAAATAAGATTATAATTGTTAATGATTCTGTACATAGAATAAAAGAAATAACTGATTGGGAAAACACTCAGTCACAAGTCCATTATCAGCAACTTGGTAGTCTATCTAATCATGCAAATAATTTACATGGTCAAATAAATACCATTACAAATAATTTTAATCAACTACATCAGGTATGTAATTTTCAAGCTGGGCAACTGCAAACTTTACATGCTAAGCACGCAAAGTGGAAAGGATGATTTCAAACTTCTCAGGCTTAACATATTTCCAGTCTTTCTTAATAATCAGTTAACTGTTAGATTGAGTGATGGCAATACTCAAGTATTGGGTGCATAAAAGATTGATCAACAAGTAGACATACTGCCCTTGTAGAGCCTTTGATGAGAAAATTATTGCCTCTGGATTTAAGAATGTAGTATTTGGAAGAATGATATTAGGATCAGATCAAGATGTTAGTTTCTGGAGTATAAAGGCTAGACAGATGAATTTCTAATAATATTGATAATAATAAAAATAATAACTGAAAATTTATTTTCAGTCTTTTTTGGAGATCAATTAACTGTTGGATTGAATAATAGCAATACTAAATATGGGATATATTGAGTGTCATAAAATATTAGATCAATGAGTAGACATATTACCATGTGGAATCTTTGACATAGAATGAGCAAATTGTAAAAACACAGGAGAGGTTAGATGACTTTCAGTCTTCCTTGGAGATCAGTCAACCGTTGGATTGAGTGATGGTGATACTTAAATATGGGATATATTGAGTGACAAAGATTGGATCAACAAGTAGACATTTTGCTTGTGTAGAATCTTTGACATAGAACAAGCAAATTTTTGCTTCCGGATGTAAGAATGTATTATTTGGAAGAATGATATTAAGGTCGGATCAAGATGTTAATTTCTGGAGTGCAAGGCTAGATAAATGGCTTTCTAATAATACTGATAGATGGTAGGAATAAAAATAGAAAATATATTTCCAGTCTTCATTGGAGTAATGGCAATACTCAAATATGAGACATATTGAGTGCATAAAAGAGATTGGATCAATGAATTGACATAGAACAAGCAATTGTTGCTTATGTGGAAGATTGATATTAAGATCGGATCAAGATGTTAATTTCTGATGTGAAGTCTAGATGGATGACTTTATAATAATACTGATAATGGTATAAATAAAAATTGAAAACTTCCTTGGAGATCAGTTAACTATTGGATTGGGTGATGGTGATACTTAAATATGGGACATATTGAGTGCATAAATTTATTAGATTAATGAGCATACTGCTTGTGTAGAACATTTGACACGGAATTAGCAAATTGTAGTATTTGTAAGAATGATATTAGGGTTAAATCAACATGAATACAAACACAGAAGAGATTAAATAATTTTTTAATTATATTGATGCAAAAATAAATATATTTTCTATAGGTTTAGAGTAATGGTGATACTCAAATATGGGATATATTGAGCGCACAAAATATTAGATCAATGAGTAGACATACTGCCCATGTAGAGCCACTTATAAGCAAATTGTTGCTTCTGGATGTAAGAATGACAGGATTTGCTAAATATAAATTTGCAGGATTGCTTAATTGATGGTGAACAACTCCATACATTATATAAGTCTGTATATATATAATATTATAATGTCTTTGGTGATGAAACCTACTTCCAAATCGGAGATGTAGCAACAGGTAAACAAATTTATTTCTGGGCAGGATTCAGATGTCAGTATAACTTGGAACAATTGATATCTAAGGAAATATTATTAATTCACAGGTGTCCAAATCCTTCATTAAAAAAATTTAATGATGTTCAAGCAATCTGAGTCATATTCTAAATTCATCTTTGAGTCCTGAAGAAAAGCTCTTCATGAGCCAATTTACAAGCCAAATAATTTAAAAAGCTCACAAGTTGGCACATAATCTGGTTTATGAAGAGCTTCAGGCGAGAGAAATAATGTTAATAATAATTAAAAGAAGGATCTATGAATTTATTATGTCATTGAACTTACATTAATTGATCTATTAATAAAACTGCTTTTTTAACAAGTTCTGAACCAGAAGATGGTGGAGAGGATAGAGATGGTGGTGTTGATAATAATGATAATAATGATAATCTTCTTTTTTTTAAAAAATTAAAGACCTGTCAAAGAGAATACAATGACAACCATGCTCAAAGAACTGAAATGACAAGTTGTGGACTGATAATCACCATCATTTTTTCTAAAAAAGCTCTCTCTTCTATTAATACCCATACATAGTAATCACATCTATTTGTTTTTTTTTCCTTTGGCTTTTTGAAAAAATGAGATTTTTTTTTGCTGCTTGAATAGAAAAAATAATATTAAAACATTGACAACTTCTTAGTTATGAGTTTTAATTATATGAATTTTTATTATTATTATTATATTGTAAATAAATATACATGAAGTCAAAATGGTTGAAATTACATCACACAACAGGCCAAACATACATAAAATTGATCAAAAGCTTCAAACCTTGTTAATATATGGCTATTTTAAATAAAACAACTACCATACCAATTCTCTTAATGAAGTAAGTCTATGGAAATTGTTTTTCGAATTTTGATTGGCCATTCAAAGATTTTTTTTTGAATACCAAAAACCAATAGAAAATTTTATTTAAAAAAGAGTTAATATATTCTCTTGGATATATAGTTTATTAATCCATCTTCATCTGAAAAGGATTACACATTAGTTTTTTTGTTCAATATGAGCCATAGTTTGGCTTGAATTTTTGATTATTTGCTATTTTTTTTTTTAGTAGTGCTCAGATCTTTAATTCTAATTATACCCATGATGGTGAATACTAGCTAAGAATTTAAAAATGTTTGTTTGAAGATGTAGTGGCAAATATCCAGAGAATTAACTGTGGCCATGTAAACCTGGCTCACAAACAACAAATGAATGATAAGCAGATAAAGAAGTAAATATATATACATACATATACAAAGTTTGTCATGGACTTTATTTGTATCCAAAAATTTTACAAATTAATTTGTAATTATAATATATTTCATGATACTATTTATTAATTTTATTAATTTTAATAACAAGATTCCTGATGAATGATAACTCAAACATTTCATCAATATATTTAGCCATTACAAAAAAGTTATTGCATCAGGAAATTAATTTAGCATAAACTTGCATAAATCTTATGATGCCGACATAATATTGTGTAAATCCTACAGTGCCGATGTAAGTTTTACACTTTTTTATTATTAAACTTACAATTGACATGTGTAAAATTTTTTTATATTTTCCGGATGTGAGTTTTTATGGTAATTTTATGATTATAATTTGAAGCTATTGAATATTTTTTGATAGACTCATAAAGCAGTCAAAAATAAACATAATACATAATTTTGGAGGTTATATGCCCATTTAACAAAGCCTTTTCCAAGTTTTCTTGATAAAAAAGCATTATTTTTAATTATTTTTTTTCCAAAGAAAAGATCAGCATAAAATTAGCCAATCATTTTTGTTTTGATTGTTTATCATTACAGTATTTAGAAATTCCATATTTGGTAACAACCCTGACTGTAATATGACCATTTCAATCTTTTTGAGGCTCAAAGTCAAATGGCCAAAAATTATTGTAAACAATAAAAATTATGAATCATAATAAAATATTTCTGACTTTCTGATAAATGTATTTGCTGAAAAATTGCAAACTTTTACAAATCAATATAGTAAAAACTGCAAAAATTAAAATTTAGGTTGCTTTTTGCCCAGAGTGCCATTTCGAACCTCAAAAGGTGTTTTCAATTTCGTGTAACATGAATGCAAAAATTTAACTATCATTAAAAAAATCAAAAAATAGTAATGTGATGACGATCAGATGATGACAAAATATATAATATATAATGAATATCCCGACAAAATTGGTAAAACATTATTGGGTATAAAACTCTGCAAATGGGGAGATATATCATTATCACATGGCAACGTTAAAGCATATTATTGGGAAAGGAAAAAATTTGTTTTTACTTTCCCAATAATTTTTGGGGTTAACAACATATTCGGAGATTAAAAAATCAAAGAAAGTTGTTGACTTAGCTATTGTCTGTTATTGAATGATGCGTTACAACAAACAATTCTTCAATAATGATTTTAGCAATAGTAATCAAAATTACATGTCTACTCAGATGACGTTAAAGCTGAATGGTTTTGCCTTTGGCAAACCAAAAAAAAAGGTTATTCGAGGGAATATTAATAAATACTTGTTGCTGGGTTCTAAAAAAGATGGTTTTATTTATATGGCTTTTGTTTTTGGGATGTGCCTTGAGGGTTCACTGAGATATGATTAGCTTTTAGTAGATTTTCGTGTTCTGTATGTAACCTTCAAGAGGCGCGATGCACGCATGTATGGTGTTGAGCGCACATGTCCTGTTTTCTTAAAAACGCAGCCTAGCAGATCCAAAAATATTGAGTTGTTTCAATTACTGATTGTTACTCTCTTTATTGGCACAAAGTCATTGGTCCTCCACATTATGAATATGTCAGTTGCGCAGAATTGGAGTCTGTTCAAATTAGGTAAGGTTTTCTTCACCGAAATATCCAGCTCCTGAGAGCCCCAGTCGCAAGGCGGGGTGATCTTAAAGAAGGTTTATAATTGGTATTATAATTGTTGCTGGTCATGGCGTCGTCTATGATTACCCTTCTGCCCTGTAAGGTGGCGATTATATGAGCATCTTGCACGGAGGAGTTTTTGGGGAGTTACCTTGAGATATATAGAGCGTAAATATCTTGATTATGTGATGCCCCGAATGATCATTCAGGATTTTTGTTCTCTGTGGACTCTCAAGAGGCGTATGAGGGCGATGCGCACATATCCCTGTTTTCTCAAAACTCTTGTAGATACAAGAAATTGAACTTCTTTTACTTACCAGTAATTATTGGCCAATTACTGACGTCTCTCTCTCTAAAGTTGGTATCTACCAACTTTAGATATGGTTCTTTTTTTAATAATAGAATCATTTTTTTCAGCACGAAGTCGTCGGTCTTCTTTATTATGAATGTCGGTTGCGCACGAAGAGTCGTTGGTCTACCTCATTATGAATGTTGGTTAGCACAGAATTGGAGCTTTTTAAATTAGGTAAGGTTTTCTTCACCGAAATATCCAGCTCCAGTGAAGGTTTTATAATTGTTGCTGGTCATGAAGACGTCCATGATTACCCTTCTGCCCCTGCGGTTGGCATAAAAGATTGCGAACCAATTTTATATGCGGGGTATAGAGTTTTTGGGGACGTACCTTGATCGCCTGGGATTTTTAATCTCTGTGGCTTTCAAGAGGCGATGCGCACCTATCCTCGTTTTTCTCAGATAAACTAGAGTTTTTGGGGACGTACCTTGATCGCCTGGGATTTTTAATCTCTGTGGCCTTCAAGAGGCGATGCGCTCATATCCTCGTTTTTCTCGGATAAACTCTTTGTGGATACAAGAAATTGAATTCTTTTACTTACTCAGTAGTTATTGGCAATTACTGACTCTCTCTCCCTAAAGTTGGTATCTACAACCAACTTTAGGTTTATTTTTTAATATATATTAGAGTCATTCCTTTCGGAACAAAAGTTGTTGGTCCTTCTCCTTTCGGCACGAAGTCATTGGTCCTCCTTCTTTACATCTACTTTTGGCACGGAAATTTAAACATTATTGTAGGCATATTAGCTATTGTCTGATATTGAATGATGGGTTTAAGAACACTTCTTCTTTTATCGACTTTAGTGTTCATAAAATATATTGATTAGTAATCATTGTGTATAACTAATCGAAAGGAGAACGTTGTGTATACTTACCTGCTAGGTAAACTTAACAACAATCATCAATTTGCCAAGAGCACTGTGAAAATGTCGTAATTTTATTTATTGTGATAATTCGCAAGTGAATTGGCATTGAAGGATATGTTGAATCAAAAAAATGATCATAAATTTTTTGAGCCAATAAATCTAGAAAAACTTGAAGGCATTGGCAACAGGAATGATTTAAAGCATTATCGCTTAAACTCGACCAAATAACAACTATATAACGCTATTTGTGGACTCGGATCACGATTTTGTGAACCGGACCACATTTAGTTTTTTTTATGATGGGGTTTCTTTTTCTCTCTTTCAGGGAGAGTAGAGACTTTGTCGTTTAAAATAGCAAGATAGTTACCTGGTTGATCCTGCCAGTAGTCATACGCTTGTCTCAAAGATTAAGCCATGCAAGTCTAAGTATAAATCTTATATACAGGTGAAACTGCGAACGGCTCAGTAAATCAGTTATAGTTTATTTGATAGTACATTATTACTACTTGGATAACCGTGGTAATTCTAGAGCTAATACATGCTAAAAATCCCGACTTCTGGAAGGGATGTATTTATTAGATAAAAAACCATCAGTTGGGCAACCAACTAACCGTGGTGATTCATGATAACTTTTCGAATCGTATGGCCATGTGCTGACGATGATTCATTCAAATTTCTGCCCCATCACCTTGATGGTAGGATAGAGGCCTACCATGGTCTTGACGGGTAACGGGGAATTAGGGTTCGATTCCGGAGAGGGAGCCTGAGAAACGGCTACCACA